AAAAAAAAAAAGAACAGTGAAATAAATAACTGACCAAACAACGAATTTTAACTTGCAAAAAAAAATTAGTGACTTTTTTGAGCAATACCTTTACAGTCATTATGGTATTTCAAATTAAAGTCTCTGTTTCACTAATATAAATCATTTACAACAGATTTGAAAACTATAAAAACAAAAAAAAAATTGATGGCACAATGAACGTTACTATAATTAACCAGCTTCTGTGTTTAGTTCACAAGGAAATGACAGTAATATCCTTCGTCAAACAGTCACTTGTTTATGAAAGAATTTTCAGTTTGCTTTTCTTCTTGTTCTTCTTTATTTGATGGCTCATGCAAGAAGCAATATAACAGCAAAAATAAGGAAAGTATGAAGATGCTGCCGTTGCTTTTTTACTCCCTCTCGTTTTCAATTCTTCTTCCGTCAGAACAAAGCAGTAACAGATCTATTAAAAGAAGAAATTGTTCGGAATTGAACTAGAACCAGTAATTGGCTCGTCTACTACGTTCTCACCGATTCCACTCGCTTCTTCAAATGCGTCCATAACTGAAAGAATGGCGCAATAAAAAGAGTTAACCTACAGTTCTGTAGTTCCGGGGGGTAATGTTGTTTTTTGTTATCTTACTTATACTTTACATCTTTTTTGAAATACTTTAAAACAACTCTTTCCTCCATAATAACTTAATTTGCCCAATGAAGTGTGGACCGAAAGCAAAACAGTCAATAATTGTTAAAGATGGTAGAGACGCAAGCTGACCTTTCACAAATGTTTCTGGTGGAAATTTTTTGCCGGTAGGGTAGTTAGGTACAATTTTGTCCATGTACTGAAGCGCGTTAAATATATAGGCATAATGACACGGTCGATCAATCGCATTTAGCCTAAGAAAGTATTGCCATGACACTTGAAGATACAGCTATTTTAGACAATGCTATTCGTACAGATTATTCTTAGCCATATTATAAAAAAATTGAAAGACTTCTGATTGTAATCAAACAAAAAATAGCTTTTTTTTTCAAATGGAACAGAACAGAAACTTGAAGCAAGAAATAAAAGCGGAAGCTGTTATAGAAATTATCCGTAAACCATTTGTGCCACTCTGATTTGCTATTAAATTCCTTTTCATTTAATCTGTTTTTTGTAACACAGTTTAAGCTAAGTCGAGACAGAAGGAAACCAATAATTTACCGCTGTGTACGAAGTTTGGATACAATGTAGGCCACATCAACAGTTCCGGTTTGAAACAACTGTTGCGCTGCCAATATCATTGCAATAAATGTGCAACTTCGTCCTCTACCGGCACTGAAAAAGAAACATTTATTAACAGGTTGTAATCAAAAATGAATATCCGTTCTTTTAAAAAAGAGCAAATAAACGGAAAAAAAAAAAGGTAAAAAGAATGTTTGAACGTCTCTGAGTACTATAAGATAAGTCATTAAGACATCAATATTCGTACCAGCAATGTACGATTACAGGGCCTGTTCGAGAGTAAGTTTCTCGATGCTCTTTACGATATAATTCAACATCAGCTGCAATTCGAACAAGCCATTTAGTGCAACCTTTGCCCGGAACTGCTTGATCTTCCCAGTTTTTGAACCAGTAATGACGAAAAACATGTTTTTCATCATTCTTCTGTATAAAAAAAATACTTTATTCTAAACAGTCATTGAATGCTAAATGACCATATTTGATATTTTAAGTAAAATAATATTCCAGAAATTTGGATTAAAAAAAGTAAAACACAAAAAAACCATAATATTTACTTCGATTACAAATTCTCTAATTTCACAGTTAAACGATTCGCGATAATGTAACAATCGTACAACAAACGGGCCATAAACTGCCGCTTTTTCAGGAAAATATTTAACACTCATTTCCTAAAAAAGAAAATGAAACATAGAAAATAGGTTTCGAATATTCCTATTTTTCAAACAGTAAACATTAAAGATTTAAAATTTATTGCAATATAAACAAATAAATGTTAACAAGTTTTTTTCTTCTAACAGCATACCACTGATAAAAGGTACACACAAAAACTGATACCTTTTGTACGTTATGATGTTGTTCCGTCAATTTAGTAAGCATAACAATCACTGGAGATCGCTCCTGGAAAACCATTGTCCAGAAGTCAAGTAACGTTGATTCAAGAGGCGCTTCCGATGCAATAAATACACGCTCTGATGTATCATCCTAGATTTAAAAACCAAATGTTATATTTTCTTGTTTATTAAAATTATACACTGTCATGGAAAAATTTTTGACCAGACTAAACAAATAGCACACTGAACTTATGGTAACTGGTCGAGTATTAGTAACGTCCCAAAGTGAAAAATAAAAATTGTTGAACTGAAAATTTTAAAGAAATTATTACACTTTCTGCCTATTTACTAATTAGTATAGCTTTGTTTTTTCTTTGCCAGAAAGAAAAACGTTTTCTACAATTTGTTTCAGTCTGCATCTGTTGATTTTTGATCCAAATCATAATTTTTTCTCCTCTCCTCTAAATAACTGAATTAAATACTAACTGTGATATAATTTGCATTGATATATCGGCGTCCCATGCCGTGTGGATAAGTGTTAGAAGTGGTTGGCTGCATTTGTTGCTCATCTTCTTGAATATGAACACGTGTTGCATGTATCGGCCAACCATATCTGTTCTTTCCACTACAGCCCGGAAGTTTTGGCCTTTCTCGTTCATCAATTTGTATTGTTATACTCTGAAATAACTATTCCTTTGAACAACTATCAGCAAACAATAACAAACAGAACAATGATTGAACTAAATGCTCAAGATCATAGGCACTAATTGCACGGTAAAAAAGAGGAAGGTATATCTGTTGCAGTTTATAGCGTTTTAAAACATTCATCATTAAGTAACCAATCTGATGGTATCAAGCATTAATTTATTCCCCTTTTTAAAAAGTACCGAATTTTATCTAATATAACCGTGACCGGTCTACGACAAATAAAGATTAATGTTGCTTTCCGAGTCTGTAAAAAATGTTTTCCACCTATTTGAATTTTTGTAGTTTGAGTTTTGCTCATAAAGTTTCAGTAGATCACAGATTGTTTAGAATCATCAGATTGCCAATGTTACTTATTATCAACTGCAGCAAAACCTCTACAATCTTTACTTCAACCTCTTCCTATTGTTCCTCTTCGTTCCTCTTTCACCTTCTCTTGAAAAATGTCTTATTTTTGAAAAATGTTCCCGTTGGATCAGTTTGATCAGCTCACCAATCATTTAATATTCTGATACTTAACAGCAATCCATTTGCAGGTTGTAAAGTGAGAAATTTTCAAGTACTCTGCTGAACACCTTCAAAATTATCTCAAATTTTACTACGAACTGCTAATTAATTAAATAATATAGAAGGATTTTCAGTGATCTTAAAATTTCTAAAACAAACATTGTAAAAATTAATTAACGTTTTAAAGTTCTGCTTAAAACAGAAACTTTTTCAATAGCCAAAAAAAACTACATCCAAAAATAACTACAGTAAAAATTTTTCTGCATTAAACCATCAGAAATAATACTGGATAATTTTGTTCTACACCTAAACGCAACTACAGCACATTTTTTTATAATAAATTAATGTATCGCCTCTTTCCAAACTTCCTCCTCAGATTTCAGAGCCTTCATAGTAACTGGTAAAAAATGTCTTTTAGTAAGTAGCCTATTTGAAAAAAGAGATTTTTCCCATATGGTGTAAAACTCACAGCGAATTCTTCATGCATAATATTCCAACTATCAGCATTAAGTTCAAGACTTCGCAACTCTTTTCGATCATGCGGACGATTAATTAAATTGTGCTTAGCAGATCTGTAAAACTTAGAATAAAATAATAATGAACACAAACAGCAAATTTCTGCGTAAAAAAAAAAAAAACAATAGTCATAATTTTGTTGTTTCATTATTAATGCATCTGAACAGTCAGTGATAATTCACTAAACAGCTATTGTGTTGAATCATTTATGTCCGGTACTGCTGCTCAACAAAGATTCCTTTTTTTTTCCGATTTTAATCGATTTACTCCCACTACAAAAAGTACAAAAAATGAAACGACTGATAATGCTTCTGTTTCCTGTTTTTTTTTGGTCAACAATTAAAAAAAATTTTCGCTGTCATTAAAAGCTCGTTAAATGGCGTCATAAGCACAGAAGAAGAAACTTACGAGTTTTGCCCATTTTCAATACCGAGCGCTAATTTCATCTCTCGGAACGGGGCACCTCGTCTAAAATTCACAAAAAAGTATAAGACGTAAAAAAAAAGAAACGAAAAACAAAAATCCATCTAACTTATTTCTTTGACTTTGAAAATTTTTCTTCTTCTTTAATTTCTGTAGAAAAAAAAAATTTTTTTTCATTTTCAACTTTCTCAGTTCACTGTTTTCTTTGCTCTACACTCGTGTTTTCCCCTTTCTTTTTACTTTCTTCCTTTTGCAGGTAAAACAATAGAGCAGATTAATAAATTTTTAGTAATTAATGTATATTAATACAAAATCATCGCTTTACACCTATTCATACCAAATAAGCAAATATTTTTGGTTTACGGTCAAAATATCAATCAATCCTTGATCAACAGTTCCTTCATTGATGGTTGAACCCGTTACTCATTGATTTAGGCAGGTTTTTTGCCATTTTAGTTCCACCCTAACTTAACAACTAAAACGAACCACAGTAAAAAAAATACAAAGAAAACCGGTTTTAGAAAACTTTGCTTAGTTATTTTTATCTGCAAGATATAAAAGTAAATTGAAAAGTTTGCATGAGTAAATCCTCTCTTTTTTTTAACCGTATAAGCCGTAAAATCCAAGCCAACGATAAAATAGTTGCAAGGTTTCAAATAGAAGACTAAGCTATAAGCCATATTATTCCTTTTCAATCAGTTCACTAGCAAGAAATAGAAAAAAAACTCGCTCATAATCTTACATTCAAATGATGTTGTTTCCGATATCAGTAAAACTAAGCATTTTGCGGAAGCATTGCGAACATGTGTTTTGGACATTAAACCTGATATAAGTCGATAAAATGGCAATAACTGGTATTTTAAGTTTAAATTAATGCAATTAACATCTTATGCTAAAAAGTGATGGTCATCAAGATAAGATCAGAAATCAAATCTATGTTCAAGTCTTATGTACGATATCCTCCACCTACCTATACACCAAAAGTTGCAGAGCTCGTTAAGCAAGTTTAAATTGTTCATTTTTTTTAATCAAATCTCTGTTTTCAAAATTTCTTTACACTCCAGATCTGATGATAACAACAAAGAAAAGTTTTGTTAACAACAATCGACTACCTTTAATAAGACCAAAAAACCTCGTTAAAACTAATAAACAAGAAAAAAAGCAAAAGAAAAAAATGGAAGAAAGATTAAGTTACTAAAGATTTTAGAACTTTTGAACTTTAGACTTTATAAATAACTTTTATAAACAGATAAACTATTGTCAGTAGAAGAAAAAAGAAAAGAAGAAAGTACAATTTATACAACACCAATCATTACAGCAGCACTAATTTCTGAAACTTATATTTAAATCTTTATTTTTTTCCTCCACGTCTCCCGTACCCTATCTGTTTGCTATCATTTCAATGGACACAATAATTCATAACTGATATGCCTTTTTACATGTCATATGACTATGATACTGATAGTTCAATAGATCATTGTACGTCGACCCTATCATATCATAAGACAAGAAGAAAAAAGCAGAGAACAAGATACAAAATGAGAGTGCAGTAAGTAGAAAAAATCTCACAAATTTTGAACACAAAAAAAGGAAGGCTTATAATTCCCAGTTGTCATGTTTGCAGAAAATAGAAATAGAAATTTCATTTATGTGCTAACAGTTTCCTATAAATTCTACTTGATAAAAACTGTTGCGCGAACAACAAAATTCACAGATTTAATTGTTGCAGAAAACAGTTTTTCTTTTCTTTTTGACTGTACCATAAGATTCCTTTAATCACCAAAAGGTTGTTGACAATAAATAAGCAAACAATTCCCAAAACGTTCATTTATTTTTACAACAACAATCCTTTATGGTCATCAACTTCCGGTTACCGTTTACCGAACAACAGACTTTTATCTTCAAACAATACTGCATTTTTGAATGATCTCAATCGGCAAAAAAATTTGGTCTACTGTGATCTATTCAAAGAAATCAGAATAATAAATCTATTGGCTTGACTGCATAATACAACCAATCAACATTCTAAAAAAAGCTGAAATATTGAAGGACTTTTCAGAAGACTAATTAAAAACATGAAACAGTAAAAATGAAGCGCTAATAAAAGAATCTAATGCAGAAAAAAAAAGTGAAATCAAAAAATAAAGAAGAAGAAGAAGATGGGAAAACAAGATGTAACTGTTAAAAAAACCTTTTTTTTAACAGTTACATCTGTTTGTCGTTCACTGGTGTTCAAAAAATGAATAAAAATTCTTTAATTTTTTTTTTTTATTTCTCCAATCAACTAAGCAACAGGCCAAACAAACTAACTAAGTAACTCACTGACTGACTGAATGACTGGTTAGCCTAGCCTATTCTACAAAATTCTTGCTAAAAATTTGCTGAAAAGTAAGCATTGAGCAATTAAAAAAACTACCTTTCCAGTAAATTTGTCCGTGAAGGAATTTGTGACATACAGATTCGAACATTCACCATTGGTTGTGGTGTATTAATAGGTGATGAAGTGAAATAAAGCTGAAACAATAATCATAATCAAATATTTAATATCATCTAAAAAACCTCGACAAACAAAAGCAAATAAATAAATATAACAATGACGAGAAAAAAGTGGAGAAACAATGAAATCGTAGGAGGAGATTCGATCTTTTTTTCTTTGCCGTTATTTTGTTATTGTTTTTCACAGAAAAAAAGAAAAGAACTTTTTAAGATATCGCTGAAGAGCAGTCAAAGCTTAAATTTCTGTTACCACCAATATAATATATATATATATATATATATTTTTTTTCCGCCATAACTTCATAAATAAACGCAAAAAGTTGTTGCTGTTGTTGTCTGTGTTGGTGATGGAGATGGAGGTGGTGGTGGTGATGGGTGGTGATATCGATAACAATTTCTGTTGGTGATATTGGTGCTAACTTCGGCAATATAGTACTGACCCTATGATTTTGGCTACATTTTTTCAGTCTTATTCTATTGTAGTTTAAGTAACAAAAGTGATTATGATTTAATTAATTGATTCGAAAAAAAAAGTTTGCTATCGGAAAATACAAACAAAACAGAAATCACGAGAAGAAGGTGAAAGGTAGAAAAAAAAGAGACAGAAAACATATGGAATAAACAAATAAATAAAACGGACTGTATTTTGCTCGAAAAAATGTATATATATATATATATATATATATATATATATATATTGAAGAAAATGTTATTTTTATGTTAAACAATTTGTTTTTCAATATTATTGTAACAGTTTCTTCTTTGACTGTTCTTTTAATCCAATTATGACTGATGAAAAAGAATTTCATTCAAATTTATGTCAGCAATTTTGTTGTTTTTTTTCCCCCTTCAACCGAAAATGAACAAACAAAAAATCAGGAAACAACCTCTTATCATCTACCCCTTTTCCCCACCAAAAAAAAAAATGGTATAATTCCTGCGCAAAAAAAGTAATACTTTTCATATTACATCTGCCAGCTTTAAGCCTCTTCCCCAAAAAAATTCACCCATTCATTCAATGCACTCAATCTATCTTCCCCTATTTAACAACCATTTATTCATCTACAAATCCGTCAAAACGATTTTCACCCATCCATTCACTATTCATCCGCCCATCAGTCCATCCATCCAACAGTCCATCGATCCATCCAAAAACATTATTATCAACAAAACAACAACAGCAACAGCAACAACACTCAGTAAAAAAGAGCACTGTTGAACAACTATATGAAACTTTTGCCAAAAAGAAAGAAAAAAACATCAAAAAAGCAGGAACACCAACACCGCCAACACAAACAATAATAAAACGATGGCAACATCAAAAATAAAAACAAAGCTGTCATGAAAATAAGTAAAATCAAATAGTTGACTATCATTGAAATAAGTTATAAGCTTTGATTTTGAATATGGACTGCTTATTCAAGCAAAAACAAAAAAAAAAAAAAAAAAAAAAAAAAAAA